GTAGAGAATAAACAGATAACCCACAAATTAGAAGAAAGATTTGCAGAATGCATGCTTGATAAATGAATTTTATTGAAATATATAAAGAACTCTTAAAACTCAAAAATAAAAAGGCAAACTACTTAATTACAAAATACACAAAAGACTTGAGCAGACACCTCACCAAAGAAGATATGTTGTTGTTACTGTTATGTGCTGTTGAATCAAAAAAGAGCAGACAGCCTCGTCTTTCTTCTATAGAGTGGTTGATGGTTTCAAACCGTGGTTTTCAGTCCAGTGCTTATTCTAGAGTCCACTGCACTCCCATAAATATATAAAGCTGGCAGTTGAGAATATGAAAAGGCATTCAAATTCACATATTATTAAGCAAAAGCAAAACCTATTGATGTTGTTGTTGTTGTCAGGTGCCATCGAGTCGGAACTGACTCATAGCGACCCCATGCATAGCAGAACAAAACAATGTCCGATCCTGGGCCAACCTCACTACCGCTGTCACACTTGAGTCCATCAATGATGCCACCTAGCCAATCCATCTCATTGGGGGTCTTCCTCTTTTTCTCTGACCCTCTGTCTTACCCAGCATGACATCCTTCTCCAGCGACTGTTCCCTCCTGACAATATGTCCAAAGTATGAGAGACAAAGCTTAGCCATCCTGGCCTCCAAGGAGCACTCTGGCTGCACTTCTTCCAAAATAGATCTATTGGTTCTTTTGGCAGTCCATGGCACTTGATAATAAAACCTATTGATAGACAAGTGTAAATCAAAATGAGATAACACTAAACACATACTGTTGTTTTGTTATTAAGAGTTATTGTATAGGTTCTGATTCATAGCAACCCTATATTGGGTTTCCAAGGAATAGATGGTTGGTTTGAATACCTACTTTATGGCTAGGAGTCCAATGCTTATCATACAGCACACACTGGGACTCTATACATACCTACTATTGTTATGGTTAAGTGCCTTTGCGTCTGTTCTGACTCATAGCGACCCTGTATAGGGCTTCTGAAGAGCAGCAGATAATGCAATCTAATACATTATCCCACAACACCATACCAGGACTCCACTTACCTACTTGAATGGCTAAAATCCAAAATACTTACATCACAATATACTAACAAGGTAGTACAGGAACCACAACTCTTAATAATTTCTGGTGGAAATGCAACATGGCTGAAGCAGTTTGGGAGATAGTCTAGTATTTTCATAGCACAAGTGTCATTGATCAGTTAAACTCTGTAGTTGAAGGCCATTGGGGCACATATTCATGACCGCTGTCAGTGATTATCATAAAGATAATTCAATAAACTTCAAATAATGTGATTAAAAGAATGCATCCATTTAAGTTATATATTCATTTATATATTATCTAATCAATATTACTGATATTCAACAAAAATTCCTCTATGTATTCTTTTTTAATGTGTTTTTGCCTTTACCAAGCTTGATGGCTTTCTTTACCATGGAGTCCACATCAACTACACCAAATCTTGTTGTTATTGTTGTTAGTGCCTTCGAGTTGGTTGACTCAGAGTGACCTTATGTACAACAGAACACAACACTGTCTAGTCCTGCAACAACCTCACAATCCTTCCTACAATTGAGACTAGTGCTGCTGCCAGTGTTGGGAATCTTCCTCTTTTTCAGTGACCTTCACCATACCAAGTATGATGCCCATCTCCAGAGACTGGTCCCTTGTGATAATATGTCTGAAGTAGGAGAAACAAAGTCTGACCATCCTGGCTTCTAAGGGGCATTCTGGCTATATTTCCAACTCAAATTTGTTTGATTTTTGGCAGTCCATGGTAATTTTCATATTTTCCTTCAACCCCATAACTCAAATGCATCAATTGTTCTTCAGTCTTCCTTATTCAGAATCCAAAATTCACATGCATGTGAGGCTAGTGAAAATATCATGGCTTGGGTCAGGAGTACCTTAGTCCTCAAACTGACATCTTTGCTCTTCAACACTTTAAAGAGCTCTTCTGCAGCATATTTTCCTAATGCAATATGGTGCTTGATTTCTTCTTGACTGCTGCATCCATGAGTGTTGATAGTTGATGTGTGTGCAAAATGAGAACTTGGACGACTTCAATTTTTTCTCCATGTATGGATGTTATTTATTGGTCCAGTTGTGAGAATTTTTGTTTTCTTTACACTGAGGTGCAATCCATATCGAAGGCTGTGGTCTTTGATCTTCATCAGTAAGTATTTTAAGTCCTCTTTGCTTTCAGCAAATAAGGTTATATCATCTGCATATTTCAGGTTGTCAATGAGTCTTCCTCTTATCCTGATGTCACTTTCTTCATATAATTCAGGTTCTTGAATTATTTGCTCAGCATACAGATTGAATAAGTATGGTGAAAGAGTATAACTCAGACACACACTTTTTCTTATTTGAAACCATTCAGTGTCCCCTTGTTCTGTTCAAAAGATTGCTTCTTGGTCTATGTATAGGTTCCTCATGAGCACAAGTAAGTGTTCTAGACCATATATTCTCTTCAATATTGTCCAGAGCTTGTCACAATCCACACAATAGAAAGCCTTTGCATCATCAATAAGGCACAGGGAAACATCTTTCGGGTAGTTTCTGCTTTCAGCCAAGATCCATCTGACATTAAAAAAATGTCCCTAATCCCATGTCCTCGTATGAATATGGGTTGAACTTTTGGTAGTTCTCTCTCAATATGCTGTTGCAGCCATTTTTGAATTATCTTTATCAAATTTTTACTTTCATGCAATATTAATGACATTTTACCATGATTTTTAAAATTCTGCTGGGTCATCTTTCTTTGAAATGGGTACAAATATGGATCTCTTCCAATCAGTTGACCGGCTAGCTGTCTTCCAGATTTCTTGGCATAGATAAGTAAGTGCCTCCACTGCTACATCAATTTGTTGAAAGATTTCCATTTATATTCCATCAATTCCTTGTTTTGTGCCAATGCCTTTAGTGCACGTTGGACTTCTACCTTCAGTATCATTGACACCTGGCCATATGCTACCTCTTGAATTGATTGAACATTGACCTTTTTTTTTTTTTTTTTTTTTTGTACAGGTCTTCTTTTTGGGTATTCTTCCATCTTCTTTTGATGTTTTTTGCATCATTCAATATACTACTCATAGAACCTTTCTTAATTGCAACTCCAGGGTCAGTTACTTCAATTTAAGAAATTATAAGCATGTACATCCCTTTTGGTTTTCCAACTCCAAGTCTTTACACATTTCATTATAATATTTGATTTTGTTTTCTCGAGCTGCCCTTTGAAATTTTCTGCCCAGTTGTTTTTTCCATTTGCTTTAGAATCTCATTGTTGGGAAGCAAGTTTCAGAGTCTCTTTTGACATCCATTTTGGTAATTTCCTTCTCCTTGTCTTCTTAATGTCCTTTTGCTTTATTCCTATATGATGTTCTTGATGTCTCCCGACAACTTTTCTGGTGTTCCACTACTACTGTTTAGGTTTTCAGTGACTAATAGTCATAAGACCTATTCTAAACTAATACCCCAAGAATTAATTTATGTCATAGTTTCTCCAAATTCTATTCTAGTATTTCTGTAATTATTGTTGTTTTTGGTAAGTACCGTGGAGTTGGTTCCTTCTCATTGTGACCCTATATAGGATTTTGAAGGAGTGGCTGGTAGTTTTGAACCACTGTCTTTGTGGTTAGCTGTTCATGTGCTTATTCTGAACTGTACCACACCAAGACTCCTAATTACCTTAATTCAAATGGAGTTCTCCATATTCTGAATGTCTTCTACTTGTGCTATCTTTTACTCAGCATATACAATCATTTCTACCTACTTCATTGCATCCTGGACATCTGCTTCATAAGATTATATTTTAACTCTTTATTCTCTTGTCTTTATCATACCCTCCAAAGTCAGAAAATTAAAGAATTTGTATTGTTGATTTCTCATAGTTATTTAATAAACAGTAAAATGCATTGAGTCAGTGTGTGAATAACTGAGTTAAATGATTCACTGTGTCCCCAGTTACATATTGAACATTACAAGGACAAGAATTTAGACTTATACCTCCTCATGTACCTAATCATTTACATAGTACCTTGAATATTACAGGTACTTAATATACTTTGGGGCTAATGAGTTTAAATAATGTTCTTAATATTAAGTACACATTATATGTATTTTCATTTGGGGAAGACAGTCGACCTTAATTTAATTTCCATTGTTCATTAAATCACCCATTATATACAACATTATTTACTAGATTCTTATTTAGGTGAACTTTTTGGAAATAGATCATGTTTTCTGTACTTCACAAAATATTTTGCTGTTAAACTTCTTTACTTATAATGCTTATAATTTGGACTTATACAGTTGAAATACATATGTAATTATTTTGTAACCTCAAATTTTGAAATATTAAAAAATATTGGGCTACAAAATAATTCATATTTATCTAGAAACAACATTTTCCATTGCCATTGAGTTGATTTAATTTTACAGTGACCCTAGGACAGGGTAGAGCTACCCAGAAGTTTTCTGAGGCTATAAATCTGTACTGTCGTAGACTACCATATCTTTCTACTGCAGACTAGCTCGTGGATTCAAACCACTAATCTTCCAGTTCAAAGTCCAATGCTTAACCCATGACACCACCAAAGGACCTTATAAGCTGTCTATAATCAAACAAATTGGACTACAATATAGAATAGATATATGTGCAATCAACAACTAATATATGCATTAAGTCTTTCTAGTATGTTGGGAAATAGTAGTAATATTGTAATTAATTTTTTGATTGAGTCCTTGAGTAAAGACATTAATTTCAGAACAGTCTCTAATTGCATTATAATCAACAATTTTATATAGGAAAACATTGCAATAGTGAATATTGCAATGGTGCTAGGATATGTCCAAGGAAAAAAGCATTGGCATATGTTCTGATAGGAGAGAGATTTGATCAAATCGCTCTGGCAGATAATAGTCTGAGCAGGTTACTAAATCATGTATCTTTCACTTTCACTTCATTAGCTATACTCAGCGTGTGGTTGGAAATGGAATCAAAGCCCAGTCTGGAAACCCTGAAGTGAAAGTCAAAGGAACTGATACTGTGATTAATCAGATTATTGATAAACTGAAGCATGTTATACAGGTAAGTGCTGATCCTATGTTGCTAGACCCTATCTGAAATAGTCATTGGTTAATCTCTAGGATAGCTGATAAAATTCTGTCTGATATTCCTACCTAAAATTTTGTATTCACATAAAACATTTGTTTCTAGGGTTTTTGTAAATATTAGTTGAGCCGTTTACTTATAGAAAGTCAATGTGAAGTATTATTAAAACTGGTGGACAATCTAGAACTGTGAGTAATAAGACATAGCCTCTGCATTTCAATAATGCAAATTTTGAATTCAAAATTTCAATGATGAAACTTTATCCCCAAATAATGAGAATTTGGGGATAAACTCAATCCTAATGATTAAACTTTCAGTATGGGAACCAACGTGTTCGTTAAGGAAAATATATTAGAACCTTTGAATTTTGTCAAGATTTTTGCTGCATTTTCAACAAAAGTTATGTGCTTTTCTTCTTTTTTTCCTATCTCAATTTTTACATAACCTACCTAGTGATTATTTATGAAATAGTTTTGTTTAATCTTTAATACTATTATTTAATTGAGTATATGCTGCTGTTTTTTAATGCATGGTGTATAAAGCATAAACTCTAGTATTGATATTTACTAGCGATTATTTCATTAAAATAATCCATTAATTAAAACCAATTATTATTTTTTATATTATAAAGATTACCCTTTGTTCTGCCTGCATTGGTGTTTAGAGTAAGAAGGATTTTTCTGTCACTGTTAGTCATTTTACAAGAATCTATGTTTGCATATTGTTTCATTTTTTCTAAGCAGAAGTTTGCATGGTTGATACATGTTTTCAGTGTGCATATGAGTAAAGAGACTACAACAAAGTAGTACAGAGTTTTTATTGCATATTAAAGTATTCCAGAGTCATTGGTACACTTTTCAAAATTGTTCTGTAAAGATTTTTAAAATGTGGATCAATTCTTAGAATTTTATTCCCATTTCTCTGCTTTAAAAATAAGTGACATATAAGAAAGACACTTGACTTATTTAAAAAAAAAAAAATTATTGTGAGTTAAGTAAGTTAAAGTTTACAGGGCAGATAATCAGTTGTACATTTAGCACATCTTTGCAGTGACTACAATACCCTCCAGGTACCATCAGTTAATAGTATTTACCACTATTGTCTTTTTTTAATATATATATACACATACCATAGTGCAAATATATATTCATTTGAATGTCCAAAGGGCACATTTTGCAAGCCAGCTTCCTGCCCACAGGCGCACTACCTTTCTCGGTCCATGGGCCTACAGTCCTCTACTGTACTGTCTATGCCCGCCGTCCCCTCTGCCACCATCTCTGTTGTAGCCATTTTCTGATTAGGATCCCTCACTCTTCTCGTGGTTTTCCCTCTTGATGGACCTAGGGTTCTCTGTTCCTTAAATGACTGATTAAATGCTCCCCTTTTTAGTTACACCTCTTCTACAGGGCTTATATTAAATACAATATATCTTCACTTACTGGGGTAAGGGGATAATGACTAAATGTTCTTATTCTATTCAAGATGTATTGAGTAAACAGAGCTCTGACCTTCAGTGACCAGGCCAAAAATAAGTTCTATTAAGAAATGTATTAGAGAAAAATTGTATCATAATTACTAACTTCTTCAGAACAACCTCTACTTGGTAAAACAAATACACTCAAAGAGAAACCTTCAAGGGAAAGTAAGTACATGCTTGAGTTGCTGGTGGGACAAGTGCTGGGATATTTCTTGGAATTGAGTAGTCTTGGGATTGTTTCATTAGCTCTGAAGCTGGAGTGACGTTTTAGGTTATGCTAGATTGATACAAGGGGGTGGGCCTTTGTTTCTCTGCATTGTTCTGTCATTGGATGAGGGTTGCTGGAGGTAGAATGAATAATAGCACAGAATAATAATAATTTTAGCAGCTGGGGGAATGAATGCCCTGGTTCTGAAAAATAATCTAGGTGACACTTCATAGTATCCACTGTACCATGTATGCGTATCTGGATTATTTGAATAATATAGTGCAGAATTGATCATAAAAACCAAAGAGCTTCAATATTAATTGACTCTTCTTGATTGGGTACAACAAAATCTTAGTGGTCTCCCAAGTAGGGTAAGCATTTCCCAGAGAGTATGATCAACGGGAGTACAGGAAGCAGAATTTAACTTCAGTATATGTTTATTTCATCTCATTTGTTTATAATTTTTACTGTTACAAAGGTGTATTCAATATATAATATATTGATACAAAAGGACATGCATGTAATTTATAAAATATATAACTATACTTAGCAAGTGTTGTTATGGAATACATACATGGTAAAAACAGTTGTGGATAACATGAATGGAGCTGCTATTTAGAAAAATGTTAACAGAAAAAAGGACTCATATTCACAATGAGATAAGTAGGTACCTAGGAGATAAAGATAAAGGGGATTGACTGATTTGTGTCCATGCAACGTATTTCCCCCTCTTGTTTCATAGGTTTCAAAGCCATGTCCTTTCTAAGGTGGCAGAGGGAAAGAATCCCCCTTTAAAAAATTTTTTAGCTTCTGTTCAATTGTGATACTTTCTTTTATCTTTATATGAGTGTGAAGAAGTTCAATTATTTATGCTTAAGTTTCGTTACAGGTTTACAAGAGAATATCAAGTAAAATGCTAACGTTGAGGGCTGTCTTGTAAAATTCTACTAAAATGATTCTATTAAAATTCAGATTTTTTTAATGATTATAACAGAAAGATATATATAATATAGGTGTCACAGATATTGACATTTAATATCTTCAAACGTGTTCTTTCCTAAACCAACTCTCCTGGGAATGAAGGGAAAGTTTTCATTTTACCAGACTTCTGACTTCAGATAATATGTGCCCTGATGGTGATGTATGTCATACTGTGTAAGATGAAAGTGCTATTAACAGGACCCATTACAATATCAAGTCTGGAAAGGCCTGGGAAATTGTCTCTATAAGTGAAATTTTATTAATTTGAGAGCAATGTGTGCCAAGAGAAGAAGTTGATGCAGGAGCTTATTTTAGTTACAGTAATCACAGTATTTAGGTAAAATGATTTCTATTGTAATGGCATTTAATATTGAGTCCATTCAAAATGTATTCTTTCATAGTAGGGATAAACAAAATTTTCTCTTGCCTTTTTTTATTCTGTACATTAAGTATATGTAAACAAGTAAGTTGTATATATATTTTTAAACTTTTTATTGTGAATTATGTGAAGGTTTATATCAATCAATCCTCTTTTTAAAGTTTGTATACATGAATTATGAGCAGATCAGTTTTCCATTAATCAATTCATATACATTTAATTCTATCTCATTGGTTGAAATCCCCACATTGAAATAGCATCCATCCCACTTTCTGTTTATGTTCCTCCTCTTTTCCTAACATTTATAAACTTTGTCCTTGGGTAAATACTGCTCTTTTGATCTCAAATGGCTGACTATTCTAAGGTACCTTCTTTTGTATTGTTTAGCTGAAAGGTGAGTCTGGAGGGAGATCATTTCCAGACCTCAAGGGTGACTAAAGGCCATAGTTTCAGGGGTTCCACCAGTCTATTTGGGGACAGCATTGTAATAGTTTTTAAGTCATGAGAGAAGATGACGTTGTTAATTTCTTGTTAAAGTATAAATTTACACCAAAATTACCAGATGCTAACTTAAGACAGTAGAATCATATGAAAAACTTGTTTTAACAAAAATCTATAAAGGGATAAAGCATTACATTAAATATATTTTTTACTTTTCAGATACTTAAGGGGTTGGTATAGGGTAGATAAAATATTCCAATAACATTAACTTTTTATTGCAAAAGTATCAATATGCATTATGTTGTTATTGTTAGATGCCATGGAGTTAGTACGGACTCATAGCGATCGTATGCACAACAGAATGAAACACTGCCCGGTCCTGGGCCAACCTACAATCGTTATGTTTGGGCTCATTGATGCTGCCTTTGTGCAAATCCATCTCGTTGGGGGTCTTCCTCTTTTTTTTTTTCTACCATCCACTTTACCAAACATGATACCCTTCTCCAGTGACTGGTCCCTCCTGACAATATGTCAGAAGTATGAAAGACGAAGTCTGGCTCTCCTGGCTTCTAAGAAGCACTCTGGCTGCAATTCTTCTAACACAGATACATTTGTTATTTTGGCAGTCCATGGTACCTTCAGTATTCTCTCCTCCAACAGTATAACTCAAATGCATCAATTCGTCTACATATTATAGGAAATTAATTTTTTATTATTTTTGGAAATGTACATAATGATTGGAAAATAAATATTATATCACTTCTGAAATAGTAAACAAGCCTTACAAAACATTCCTTCTAAGATTTTTATAGTTGCTATTATTGGTAAATAATATGAAGTCAGTTCAACTCATAATGACCCTCAATAGGGTTTTCAAGGAGTGGCTGGTAGGTGTGAACCACTGACCTTGTGGTTAGCAGCACAGTGCCACATCAGGATATATATATATATGTAAATCTCTCTCTCTCTCTCTCTCTCTCTCTCTCTCTCTCTCTCTCTCTCTCTATATATATATATATATATATATATATATATATATTTTTATTAAAATGCAGTTGGGATCATGTTTTGTAACATGATCGGCTCACCCAACAACATATAACACACCTATTTCCAAGATATTAATATTCTGCTATATAAATGCTGATCAATAATTTGGTACAGTCTAGTCAATTCCAATTACTAGTAACCCTATAGGATAGGGATATTGTTGTTGTTGTTATGTGCCATGGAGTCTGTTCCGACTCATAGCGACCCTGCACGGGGTTTCTGAGGCTGTAAATCTTTACAGGAGCAGAAAGCCTCATCTTTCTCCCGCGGAACAGCTGGTAGTTTCAAACTGCTGACCCTGAGGTTAGCAGCCCGATTCATAACCACTACAGTACCAGAGCGCCTTATTGGATGGGGTAAACCTTCTGAATACAGTTTCTAAGGCTGGAATCTTCATGGAAGTAGACTGCCGTACTTTTCTCTTATGAAGCGGCTGGTTA